GCGGTTGGCGCAGGATAGAGCAGGGTTTAGGGCTGTTGTGCATAGGGTCGCTAAGAGTCGGAAATGACTCGATGGCACATAACAACAACAACAACATCAGGAAGATGAAAATCAAAAGAACAATGGGTTATTCTCTCACCCAAGCAAGAAAAGTAAAGCTCAACAGGGCAGCAAACAGCAAATGTTGGTGAGGTTGTGGAGAGATTGGAACTCTCATTCACTGCTGGTAGGAATGTAAAATGTACAACCACTAAGGACAGCAGGCAAGCTCTTTCTCAAAAAATTGGAAATAGAAGCACCATTTGACCCAGCTATCCCACTACTGGGAATACACCTTAAAGAAACCAGAGCCATGACACAAATGGATTTATGCACATTCATGTTTGTTGCTACATTATTTAAAATAGCAAAGAGATAGTAGTAGTCCAACTGTACATCAAACAAATGGATAGGGGGGAAAAATCTGTGTTACATCCACATCATAGAATATTACACAGAACTGAAAAAAATGAACTTGTAAAACACAACACAACATGGGTAAGTTTACAAGACATTATGCTGAGTGAAATATCTCAGTCACAACAGGACAAATATTGCATATAACAGCATAACATCATTGTTATAGAATTGACACAGAGTGGGAGAACAGGGAAAGGGTTGATAACGAACACTGCACTGAAACAGATGTGGGAAAGGACTGTCTGAAAGGAATTTATAATTAAGCACTACATGAATAACAACAATCTGGAACAAGAGGTAACTTACAGAGTGAATTGGAGGAGGAATCAAAGAGGAAGGAAAATGTGTATCAATGATAAATGAAAACACAACCTTTCTGTAAACTTTCATTAAAATCACAATTAAAAAAATTAGTATCTACAGTGAGTGGCATTGTTGCTATGTGCCATCAAGTCAATTTCAACTCATAGTAACCTTACATACAACAACTCTGTACCCTGTTATATCCTGACCCAATTTATTCTCTGTCACACCTGCCCCCATTTCCTGAGTCACTAAATCAATCTATCTCATCCTGCCTGGGTCTTCCTCTCTTGCACTATCCCTTAACCTTTCCAAGAATGACGTCCTTCTCCAAGGACTGGTTACACCTTGCAACATGTCCAAAGTATTTCAGATGAAGCCTTAGAATCCTTGCTTCCAAGCAACAGCCTGGTTTCACCCTCTCTGGGATGGACCTGTTTGTTCTCTTAGCAGTCCATGGTATGTTCAATACTCTTCTCCAGCACCACAACTCAAAGGCATTGATTCTTTTACTATTATTCTTAGTCATTATCTAGCTCTCTGATACTTAATAAAAAAAAGGAAAAGTTAGACTGTAAAGGGTGAAACAAGATTATTATTTTTAAATTATATGAATGAATGGATGAATAAGGGAGCTCTGGCTGCTTAGTTGTAAGGAACTGTGCTGCCAATACATAGGTACGTGGTTCCAATACACCAGCTAGCTACTCCTTGGGGAAAAATATAGAATTACTATGCAATTTACTGTATCTGGACACCCACTGAGGTGACAGCTTTGGGTCAGTTCCAACTCAACAACAACAACAACATTATGAGTAACTAGGAAATTAGAATCAGCGGATGAGTTGGTAGATTTCACAAGTGTTTGACCTAGGTTGTTGGATATTTAATATACAGAAATAAATTGTTTTTCTATGAAACAGGGAGTTCTTCTGGCTTAGTTGCAAGAAGCTGTGCTGCAATACTGAAGGTTGGTTCAAATCCAACAGCTGCTCCATGAGAGAAGGATAGGCAAACTCATCCAGTGCAATTAACTGTATCTGAAAACCCACTGAAGGGTTATCTATAGGTCAGTTCCAATTCCACAGCATACAACAACAACATGAAGCAGCGTAAAACCAAATATAAAATAGATAACACCCATCAAATTGTATGACCTTATAATTAACCACCCCCACCCATCCTCACTCTCCTTCCCTCTTCCCCCCACTTGGATCCTATACTTGTTCTACAATAATGGCCATACACAATATTTGTCCTTCTGGGACTTAGCTCACTCAGCATAATGCTCTCCAGTTCCTCCCAAGTTAGGTAGTAAATTACAAAATCATTGTTCCTGTGTGCTATGTAGTATTTCACTGTGTAAATGTACCATGATTTCTAAATCCATTTCCATTGTGGTTGAACATTTGGCTGTTTTCATGTTCTTGCTATGGTGAATAACTAAACTAATAGAAATGATCCAGTGTAAAAAACAATGTATATGAACTTTGTAAAAAAAAAAAACAAACCAGGATAATAATGAAAAAAATCCCAGAAGTCAGAAGAGACTACGAAAATTGCATTAGTGTTGAGAATCCAAAAACAAAAGGAAGAGATGCCAAAGAAAAAAGCTAAGCAGAAGATTTCAAAGGGCAGCTTGAGAAGACAAAGCAAAATATTATAAAAAAATGCAAATAAAAATTGCTAAGAGCTGGAGTCAGAGAATGAAAAGGGAAGAATTTACTCAGCATTTCTCAAATTGAAAGAAATTTTAAAAATTCAAGTCTCAAGTTGCAACACTGAGAGATGCTATGGCAAAATCTTGAATGATCCAGGCAGCATGGTGAATGAACTAACATGATCATTATTATAAAAATATAACTAGTAAAATGTATAGAGTTGTTCAAAGAAAGGAGAGGAGAAAGGGGTATTGAGGGTGGGAGCAGAAATCATGGGGACACAGTTTGATGGATGGAGGGGAGGGGTAAAGGACTTATGAAAAATTCAGTGGGGATCTGAAAAGACAGAATAATAATAGGCATAGATCAATGTTTAATAGTTTTATAAGACACAATATATGAGAATGATGTATGAAACATAATGTAAATGAAGAAATGTGTGAAACACAATGTATATGAATGAAAAAATGTATACAAATTTTGTATGAAAACCAATATAAAAGAAAAAGAAACTTTAAAAAAGTAACATAAAATAAATGTTAAAAAAACATGTAGCTAGAACTAAATTTTACAAAAGATATGTATAACATCTATGAGAAAATTGCTTCAATAAAGGCAGCTATTGAATATCCATAAAATAATACATTTTATTAGACCCTTAATGTAAACTATGCATAAAACCAAATTCTAAGTGGCTGGTCTAAATATAAACAGACAATCTGAAAATTAAAAATCACTGAAAGAAAAAAGAGAGAAATTAGTATAAATTCATTAGTTACAATATGCATTTAACCAATTTAAAAAAGACGTATCTAGGGTGATGGTGGACAGCCACGTCTCTCAATATCAACCTTACCTTTTTCCCCTTCAACTCTTTTAAACGGTGTTATAAAATCTAGTAATTACCTTATTTTTTGCCGTTCTTGATCAACACATCTTATTTGGGCGGTAAGCATTGCTTTGTGAACCTTAATTTCTTCTGTTCGTTCTTCCATGGCCGTGTGTAACTGCTGTTTTCTTTTTTCCAGGGAAAGAACTTCTTCTGCTTTACTGTGAAGCATTTCTCGAGTACGTTTGACTTCAAGTTTTAAAAAGTTGTCTTCTATCATCAAATCCTATCAACATATTAAAATTGTCACATATTTAAAGAATTGGTTTTATAATAAAACTAAAATAGGGTGTTTTTTTCTTTTGCTATAAAAACTCACAAGCATATTAACTAAGTTTAAAGTTATATTGGCGAGCTCCACACCTCTAGTTTTACTATTTTTTTAAAAAAGAAAATAGTTTGTGATTATTTCAAGTTGTTTGTTTTTTCTAAAATTCAAACTTTACTAAAACACAAAATAGATGAATATTTATTCCTAAAATTGAAACTTACATTACCAACACTATCCATAAAATGTCATGCTTTAATGAAATCTTATATAGCAGTGTGTAAATATTTTTTCATATTTTTATTAGCCTGCATACAACCATTCATATACATTGTGCTTCATGCATCCACACTGTGCTTTATATCTTACCTTTTACATTGTATTTTGTTCATGTACACTTTTTTAAAAATCATTAATACATATATATTGTCTTTTATCTAATTAATTAATTAATTAATCTCCTCCTGTATAGTTAAATTCCTCTGAAAATCCACCAGAGGGTTGACTACGGGTTGGTTCCAACTCTACAGAACCCAACAACAACATCCCTATTATCATCCTGTCTTTTCAAGTCCCCAGTGAATCTTTCTGATCCCTTCACTCCCCCATCCACCCAGTAACCCCTACTATCCTATTGATTTCCCTCCTTCCCCTTTTTCTGCCCCCTCCTTCATTTACCCTTCTCCTTTTGAACATTTATATACATCTTGCTAAGTTATCCTTCTGTTTTTACAATAACTGTCTTATGCAGTAATTGTTCTTATAAAAATGAGTTCTGTCACTCTGCATAATGCTTTCTAGACTCTTCGCTGTTATATAGTATTCTACAAAATGTTGTTCCTTAGTGCTGCATAGTGTTTCTTTCTGTACCACACAAAAACTTTTGTGTGCCATAATTTCTCAACCCATTCATTTGTTGATAAGTATTTGGGCTGTTTCTATTGTTTTGCTATTATGAATAATGCTGCTATGAACATAAGGAGATATATATCTCCATTTGTGTCTCAGTTCTAATTTCCTTGGAGTACTTGGATCAAATGGAATTTCTATGTTCAGATTCTTGAGAAAATGTCAAACTGCCTTCCAGAGTGGTTGTCCCATTTTATAATCACACTGCTAGTGCATGAGAGTTCCAATCTCTCCACATCCTCTCCAACATTGACTACTCCCTGTCCCATTAAGCTTTGCTTATTCATAGCAAATACATTTTTAAGAGACATAAACGCAGGTTATATACTGGGATTTCACCAGATGGTATGCATAGAAATCAGATCGGTTACATCTGTGGAAAGAACCGCTGGAGAAGCCCAATATCAGCTGTGAAAACTAGGCCAGTAGCTGATTTTGGAACACACCACCAACTACTCATATGCAAGTTCAAGCTGAAGCTGAGGAAAATTAAACCAAATTCAAAGCAACCAAAA